TGATTAACATATTAGCTATTAGAAGAGATCTATGAAAAAGGATGCAAAAAATTCACCTTAAAGCCTTTTAGACATCTTAACCACCTTTATATCTGACTCTTTTCACACCATTATTACATCAAACTCACGTTACATTGACGTAGCTTCCTTATCGATGCGCCTGTTTTGTCCTTAAAGTTGGAGCTGTGGGTTTTAGTGTGTTTGCTTAGTCAGAGGGGAGTGATCCTAAAGGATAAACTTTAGCTCTTAATGGCTTGTCAACAGTAGCAGCGGCAGAGAGTTTGCTGAGTCAACAGCTTGTTCAAGCGAAGCTCAAATACACCTGTGAAGGTTTTGTGTGTTAATGTGTGTTTTAACAGTATTCCTTATTTCTGCAGCTTACAGGTAAGTGGATTTGACACTCAGTAATTCCCTGTTAGGTGTGTCCGCAGCCAGACTTGCACAGAAGCGTGTGTGTATGTGTGAGTTCATGCCTTTATCCATATGTGCGTGTGTGTGTAGCTATGCTGCCCTGCCTGGTTCTGCATCGCTCATCTGTTCGTCCATACCAGAGGGGTTTCTACTGCAGTGACTCCAGCCTCAACTACCCCTACAAGAGCAGCACCGTGCCCTCGTCAGTGCTGGTTTCTGTGGGTCTGACACTGCCCATGGTGTCCGTAAGTCCCCCACCGGCCCCCGAGGCTTTTTTCTTCCCGCTGTCTCAAACAGCGCCCGGACGTGGAAAACAATCAAACCAGAAACAAGGAGGGCTCGAGGTTTAGGAAGTACCTAAAAGGGAGTGGCCGTGTAAAAGATGACTCCATGCAGATTATAAAAAAAAAAAAGATTTAAAAATGTCACCTCTTTGACCCGAGGGGGTCAACTTGTGACTTCCTCAAGCCTGAACCTTTTTTCTGTTGAATAATCCCCCTGGTGCCAGCATGCTCCCTGTGCTGCTCCTGTTCTCTCCTGTTTATGTCCGTGTCACTGACCTGGTGCGTTTATGCCCTTCTTTCTTTCTTCTCTCCTCTCTTCCTGTCTTCTCTCTCTCTGTCTCTCTCTTTCTTTGTGTCTTTTTTTGTAGCTAGCCTGCCTTTCCTGATCATTGAGACTAGCACCATAAAGCCGTACCAGCGCGGGTTTTACTGTTCGGACGAGTCCATCCGCTTCCCCCGAAAAGAGGGAGAGACCATTAGTGATGCCGTGCTTTGTGGTGTTGGCATTCTTATTGGCACCGTCTCTGTAAGTCGACCCTATAACATCTCCCTTTGATTGCTGCTTCCTTCTTCTCAGACTCTTAGATGCTTCTCAAGGACATGTCATAAAACACATTCGTTATTCATCACATAGAAAAGAAAAGGAAAGGTACCCATAAACAGTGCCTTGCAGAACACCCAATAAACGTTTAACTACAAACTGCAACATAATTGGGATTTAAAGCGACAGACCAGCTTCAAGTAGCTTAAATGTTTAGAAAACTGCGTTGCATTTTTATTCCATCCTTCTCTATACTCCCAAAATCAAATATTCAGCGCAACCACTTCCATAAAAATGCATGTCTGAAAGAAAATATAATAAAAAACAGCAGAAAAAACACGAGACTTCAAAGGTTTCTCATTAATACAGCCAGAACTATGATGAAACAAATGCTCCAATCAAAATCCAGATATGGAATATCAGATGCTGCCAATCCATTAATCTCATTAACCTTAGCTGTTTGGCAAAGACTCGCAGATATTTCAGTTTTTATAAGGTGGGGTTAAAGACAGCGATGTGCGACAAAATATTAACGCAAGCTCAATGATTTCAAATTTATTTAGATTTTAATTAACTTCTTTATCATGAAATCTATATATTAAGCTTTGTGGCTACAGCTGATTAAAGCTGTAGCCACAAAGTTTTATAAACTTTTAAGCTACTTTATGCTGGTCTATCACTTTATTGTAAAAAACCTCTACAGGATACTGTAAATGGGTTCTATATGTATGTATTCCTTCTTCATTCTATAGTTTACTTTTTCATTCTTTCTTATTCCACTGATTCTTTTAGGCAGTGTTTTTTTCCAATATTAGTTTGGATCATTTTGACTGGTAAAACAGATCAGAGGTAGGTAGCTTCCCTTCTGAAATGTTGAAACTTAGATGGAGTACAGAGATTTTTTGGGGCAGTTTTGTGCCCTTTGGTGCGCCATGCCGCACCACGGGTCTGTACTGTTGCTCTCTCCCATGACGTTGGGGCCTCACTGATAGCCTGAGGTGTCTCACAGCGTGAAGTTCTTATTCACATTACAGCATTTCTGTTTAAAAATAAAAGGGAATGGCAGTAGTGGAGTATAAGCAAAGAGAGAAGCAGCCAGGCGGACTGGAAATATGTTCTAATCCATTAGAGCCTCATGGTTAGGGTAGGTGATCTTTACAGTCCTTAAACATAGGGGTTCCCAGACTGAGCCGTCGCCTTGCTGCCGCCTCGTTACAATCACCTCAGTAGGCACACACACACATTCATATACATTATACCAGCTCAGCTCTTCTGCTTATTGAAAGCAGGAGAATAGCGGTGGGCTAGGTAGTCCCCCTCGCATGTTCACTTGTGGGCAACGCTGGCGTGTCTGACACAGCTGTCTTCCATTTGCGGCGTCTACTGCCATGCCAACACCGTTCCTTCTAACAAGTCTGAGCACACACACATAGATACACGCATTTGCTCAAATATACTTGGTTTTAGAGCAGATTCCACTTTGGTTTGCACAGCGGGATACGTCTGCTCCAACATAGTCAGAGACAGGGAGACAAGGAGGAAAGGCTGAGGTGGAATCTAAACACACCTCTGTGGCCTATACTGGCCTCCTGCAGCTTCAATCCTCCACTCTAATCAAAGAAACAAAAAGAAACACATAAGCATCATCCAGTTTGTTTCTTCTGGCTGTTAATGTGGTAGCCATGCACAGGATAGCCAGGAAAGGCATGTATACTGAGATCAAAGGCTTATGAATGGAAAACACACGACCACAGTGATCAGATAAGCATTCAGAGTGTTGATCTTTAAAGGAAAAATCAGCAAAGAAATAATCAATGGATCATTATTTATACATAAAACTAATATGTTCACAGTGATTTAATGAATTTAGCATTAATCAGTAAAAAAAAAAAACCCTTGAAGCGGCCATTTTTGCCCAAATATAGTAGCCCCTCCCTCCTGCCATCTTCCAGCAGTGAGGTCACGGTGC